ATCTGCGGGGGACGGGGTGGTGGGGAGATGGTGGCGGGGGGCACCCTGGCCAGGCATCCCCTGAGGCGGCTGCCCCCCTCACCTGGAAGCGGATGCTGGCATCGGAGAGCTGGTGCCCGTCCTCGGCCAGCGCCTTCTGCCGCAGGGCCTGGAGCCGGCGCTGGGGGCTGAGCTGGTGGCTGAGCAGGGCCCCCACCTGCGCCCGCTCGATGGAGCCCAGCAGGATCATGGACTCTGCCGGCAGCACAGGGGGGTTGTGTTGGCTCCCAACACCCCTTTACCTGTCCCCTCCCTGGGCCATCCCAGCCCCCAGCACTGCCCCCAGCCTGTGTCTCACCGGCCGACTCCACCAGTGGCAAACTCTTCATCTTGGTGCTGACCAGGACGTGCTGCAGGTCCCGGTACTTGCAGTTGAGGGTGATGTAGCGGATGTCCCTCACCATGATGTTCTCCACCCGCACGTTGTATTTCCTGCTCAGGGAGGGTAACGGTGGCCTCAGAGTGATGCCACCCCCTCTTCTTGTGCCTGGTGAAGGGCTTGGGGACAGGGCAGGGGCCGCACACTCACTCGTGGTGGCCCCAGCCCAGCTCAGGGAGGTAGGGCAGCTTCTTGATGCGGATGATGCTGTCATAGAGGGAGGGCTGGAGGCTCTGGGCCACGGCGTTGGCCAGGATGACGGCGATCATGACAGGCAGGATGTGCGAGATCTGCCCCGTCAGCTCGAAGACGATGACAGCCGTGGACACCGTGTGGGTGACAGCGCCCGACAGTGCAGCCGCCCCTGTGTCCGTTGCCAGGAGACACGGGGGCTGCTGTCAGGTGCTGCCAACCAGGCTGGGTCCCCACCCCTGGAGCATCCACCACCCCCAGAGCTCTTGGGACCTCCCGGGGACATCCCCAGTGGTGCTGTTACCCCCAGTCCCTGGGGGCACCACCTCAGCCCTGGGGAACCCACCAGCTCCTTTGGAGCATCAAGTGATGCCCCCATGGTGTCCGCGTGCCGGCCCGGTGCTTACCCACCACGGCGTAGCCCCCTGGCACGATGCGGTAGGTGTTGCTGTCGGTGTGGATGCCATCGGGGAACCAGGCTGCCATGCTCTCCCCCACCAGGCGCCCAAAGGCTGCCCCTGCCCGCAGAGAGGGGCTGGGATCGGGCACAGGGACTCTCCTGACACCCGACCCGGACTCATGCCCTCTCCTCTACCCCAGTGCTGCCGGGGAAAGGGACACCTGGGGACACCCATCGGGGTACGGGCTCTCACCGATGACAAAGACAGGCATGAAGGCTCCGCAGGGCACTGGGATGGTGGTGGCCAAGGCTGACATCCAGAACTGTGTTGGGGATGCAGACACCTGTTAGTTGTCCCTCCTGCCCCTGCTGTGCCCCACAGCTGGCTGCCATGGAGCTGCTGTACTGTGCCATGGGGCCGTCACCTCCCTGGTGGCACCTGGCCAGGACTTCCCTAGTGGCACCTGGGGGCACCCCGCCGGCACCTGCTGCTGGCACCTCAGTGGCTCCCAGCCAGCATCTCTTTGATGGCATGTTTGCATCACCCAGCCAACACCTTGGTGGCCTCTGGGAGCAGCCACCCAGTGCCTCCTGGTGCCGCCTTTCTGGCAACCACCCAGCACTTCCCCAGCGACATTCAGGAGTCCCTTCCCAGAGGCTTCTGGCAGCGCCCCGGGACTGGCAGGGGCAGGAGGCACCCACCTTCATAAGGATGAAGACGACGAGGGTGACAAAGACATTGGAGCGGGGGTGGCGCCAGGCCTCCAGGATGCCCAAATATTCAAACTCATCGCTGAGCCCCTGCTTGGCCCACGTCTGGTTGTCGAAGAGTGTCACCAGGGTGTCCTTCTGGGTGAGCTGGTGATGGGTGGGTGTAAGCTGGGGCTGGTGGTGGCCCCGGGGTGGGGACCAGTGTGCCACCCCATGGCATGTACCTGACCGGCCATGAACTGTCCAAAGCCGGGCGGGAAGGTCAGCGTTGCGATGAGCAGCGTCACCAGGGCAGGAAAGAGCAGGCGCCTGGCGGGGTGGCACGGGGCAGGGAGTGACGTCGGTGCAGCCCTGGCTCCACCTCCCCAGTGCTGAGGACCGCCAGGCACCTACTTCTTCATGAGGAAGCGGTTGATGGTCTTCTGGCGGCGCATGAACTGCACAATCTTGCGGTTGAGGTAGACGAAGAGCGCGCCCCCGAAGCCACTGGCGATCCTGGGCAGAGGCAAGGTGTGAGCACCCACATGTCCTCCTGCCACCACCCCGGGACCATGGGATGACACCATCGCCACCACTGCCACCCAGGGCCACGGGACAGGGTGGGTGTACTCACCCGATGACAGCGAAGGCGGGCAGCTCCTGCAGGTCAAAGGGGAAGTCGAGGCGGAAGCGGGTTTTGAACAGCGCCGTGATTGTCTCTGGGGGACAGTGGGGGTCAGGGGGGCTGTGTGAGACCTCCCGTTGTTCCCCACCCCGGTGGAGGTACCTTCATCCTTGTTCCAGACGGCGAGGACGCGGAAGATGAAGGCACTGAAGGTGGCAGCAAAGAAGCCGCGCCAGTAGTTGCGGACGGCAAAGAAGGTGGAGGTCACCTCGATGCTGAAGAGGACACCTGGCACCGGGGGGAAGCACACGAGGGAGGCGGCGAAATCCAGGCTGGCCCCTGGTGCCTGGCATGCTTCCCACCCCGAGCCCACGCTCGTGCATGGCCCGCGGGGGTCCGGCCAGGCCCACGGACACGCTATGGGGCAGTTCAGGGGCCTCCCTGGCAAAGCGTGTGGCCGGTCCCTGGCTGGCTGCAGTGGGCACGGTGGAGCAGCACTCAGCACGAGCAAGAGGGCAGTGCGAGGATGTGAGCAACGACATGGCGGGCGGTGCTGGGGGGTGGGCGCACGCAGCTGGATGGACAGACAAATGGGGCAGCGCAGCAGGCAGAGGGTAAGGGAAGAGTTAGACATGTCACCAACCTACGGGCAGGGCTCAGCGGGGCCGGAGCAGGGAGCTCCCTGGAGCACAGGGCGGCAGGGGAGAGGATGAGAGCAGACGTTACACCTCTGGGAGGACGCTGCCAGCTCCTCCCTTCCTCCTCCCCGCTGAGCGGCACTGTCCTCTCCCATGCCAGCTGTCCTGGGGGTCCTGCTCGCCTTGCCGGGTGGACCCCAGTGCCCGGGCAGGAGGTGCGTGGGGGTGCGCGGGGCCCAGGGTGACCCTACCTCCGATGGGGGCAGCGAAGCAGCAGCCGACACCGACGGCGCAGGCAGCAGCCAGCATTTCGATGTTCCTCGACTCATTCTGCGGACAAAACGGGGTTGGGCGGGCACTGCTCTCCTCTGCCCCTGGCACTGCCAAACCTGCTAGGGGGCACAGGTGGAGCCCCCCCCCGGGGCCAGCCCACGCTGCTCACCTCGTAGATGCCCCCAAAGAGGGAGAGGAAGCGGCTGAGCAGGGCTGCGCACATGCTGGCAATGTGGACAAATGGACCCTGTGGGGACAGCGGGGTGGCTGAGGACAGTGCCCCTCCCAGCCCCCTGCCCGCCCTGCCCCGGGCACTGCCCTCACCTCCTTGCCCAGGGGCATGCCGCTGCCCAGGGCACACGTCAGCCCGATCACCTTGGCCACGAAGGTCTTGAGGGTGAGGTACTCCTTCAGCACAACGCCCCGCAGGATGGTCTTCATCTCAGGGATCCCCGAGCCTGGAACCGTGGGGACAGCCATGGAGGGGGCACACTGGGGAGCCCCTGCCCTGTAGTTGTGTGTGTGGGAATCCTTGATGCTCTGCCACACCCCACTGCCACAGGGAGACCCCAGAGACGCGTCTCCCCGCAGCACAGCTGGCAGGAACAGCCCCATGGCCATCTGGGGACAGCTCAACTCATAGCCCTGCAGGGACTCCAATCCTGTAGCCCCCAGGAGACCCTCTGAAGCTCTTAGCCCTAGGAAGACCCCCAAGACCACTAACCCCATAGCCCAGGAGGACATCCAGCCCTTAACACACAGGAGACCTTCTGAAGACCACCCCATACCCCTTGGAAAACCTCCAGGACTCCCAACCCCGTAGCCCAGGAGGACACCCAGGTTGCTCCCAACCCACAGCCCCAGGGAGGGGCCAC